GGCCAGAGTCAGGTTTCAGTGGGGGAACAGAGTCAGGCTATATTAAAGAGCGGCCTCAGGCTTAATTGAAGACCAGATTCTGCCTTTAGTGAGGACCAGAGTCAGGCTTTCGTAACGAACAGTGTCAGGCTTTGTGAGGACCAGAGTCAGGCTATGGTGAGCAGCAGAGTGAGGCTGTAGTGAGGACCAGAATCCAGTGCTAGTGAGAACCACAATCAGGCTTTAGTGGAAAAAAAAAAGGTGGACCCAGGAGTCACGAAGGGGCTGCTGGGATCCTCGGGTTTGGGGGTCCGCTGGGGGCTCCTCAGACTGCGGGTGGAACCAGGGCCATCGGGGGCTGCCAGGGCCGGAGATGTGACACACCACTTGACGGGGCGTCGGGCCTCGTTCAGTGTCTCTCACTGGCTTCCTTGCGTCCGAGTGGCGACACCCCTGGCGGAGGACCGGGTGCCGCATCTGCAGGGGAGGACCCCTCCCGAGCCTGCGTGGCCAGTGCCCTAGGGTTTGGCTCTGCGTCCTGAGGAGCCTCATCGTGGAGCCCAGGGCCTCCTGGCTGCAGCCTTTGCTTTGACTCTCCCAGAGCTGGGTGGGGGTCCTGGGTGGGGGCGGGTCACCCCCGTGTGTCCCTCCAAAATTTGGTCCTCAGTCTCTGGGGGTCTTCTAAAGGCTCTGCATTTTGGAGCCCTTGGAAATACTGGCTGGTGGCCCCATCTTGGAGGCAATGAGCTGGTGTCGTGACACCTAGTGGCCTTGTCCCCGGCCTGCTGTGCAAAGTCCTGCGCTATTTTGAATCTCCAGACATGTTTGAATCTCGAGTTTCCATTTCTAATTCCCTGTTGTCAGCCACTGATGTGACCTGACATATTGTCACGTGGACGTCCCAGTGGCTGCCTCCCTCTACAAGTGCCCTGGTCAGCCTCCCCGAGATGGGGCGGCCCCTACAACAGAGCAGCACAGGACCCTGCCCCCCACCCCGGCCCCAAGCACAGCATCTGGGCTGCCCGTGTGGGCATGTGCTTGTGTGCGCACCTCCTGGGTTTTAGGTGCATGGGGAGCCGGTGCTCAGGCTGATGCTGTCGGGCCTCTAGGTCTCATGTCACTGTGTGCCGGGGGTAGGCCGGGGGACGCCGTCTGTCCCCCATAGGGTCGGGGCGGAGTGTGGCAGCGACGGCTGTGAGGTAGCAGAGGGGCCGCGGGCCTGGGCGCTGCCTGAGGGAGGGTCAGACCGCAGCACGTCAGGGCGGGGTCCCTTCTCTGGAGGCTGCTGGGCACCTCCCTCCAGGACCACCACTGGCTGTGGTTCCAACCCGCGAGCAACCTAGTGAACCAGACCCTGCAGAGTCCCAGCCACCTGTCCTTCTGAAGGGTGGAGGTCTGGGCCCAGCCCCTCCTGACTGCATCCTACCCCAGCGGAGAGGCCCCTCGGCAGGGCCATCCTGCACCTGTTGGGCTGATCAGAGAGGCGCGAAGACCGGAGCACTTGCCCTGCAGGCATTTCTCAAACTTGCCAGAGAACACTCTGCTGGCTGCTGATCAGTGCTGATTCCCAGGCCCTGGCCTGTTCAGGGCCTCCACCGGCTTGGGTGATGGGATGTGGCTGTCCCGGAGAAGAGTGCTCTTGGGAACTAGGAGCTGTCACAGAGAAACTCCCTTCTAAGTTGTCCCTGGGGCGGCTGGGAGGCCCAGAGTCAGTGCTCTCAGCTGCTGCCAGCGTGAGCCAGGTGAGGGCAGGCCTGCGGGTGAGGCTGGACAGGGGTCGGGGGAAGCCTGGTTGTGGATGGCGGCCGTGAATGCACTAAGCCACAGGGCTCCCTGCACCAGCTTGAGTATGGCTGGCCGTGTCCCTCCTGTGAGGGCAGCTGTGGGGGCGAGGCTGTACCTCCAGGGATACTGCTGGGGCTCTGCCTGGGGACCCCCACCTTCTCCCACACACCCCGACATGCAGGGCCAAACCCTCGGGGGTGCTCCTGCACTGGCTGGTCCCCTCTGTAGCTCCTTCCCCTTTGGTGGAGACCATGCAGCTCCAGACTCGGGGCTGCGAACTGTGCACTGAAGTTCTGCCTATTCTCCAATCCCTTTGCATTGGGACCCGCGGCTGCTGCTCACCCCTCCCGCCCCTCAGGAGACAGCCTGGCCAGCGGAGCTCCTGTCACCTGGCATGCTGGCCCATGTAAATGAGTCGCTGCTGACCCCTGGTGCCAGGAACGTCCATATGCAGTGATTCCTGGTGCCAGGCTGTGCTCAGGGATGTGCAGGCAGCACTGGCCCCGGGGTGGTCAGGGCTGTGGAGAGTAACGATCTGGGTGAGGTTTGCACACCACTCTGGGTGGGCGGCCCAGTTAGGAGGAGCTGAGGGTGGCCTGTGGCCTTGAACGTGGACCGCATGCTGTGCGTATGGTGTGTGCAGTGTCGTCTGGTCAGACCTGGCCTCGGGAGGCGAAACTGGCTCAGTGTGGAGGGGCAGCCAAAGGCAGGAGGGCAGTGAGCAGGGGACGGCCAGGCAGGGCCGGCTTCGTGGACGCCGTGAGGTGGGGGGCCTCTCTTTTCCCTGCCAGTCCTTTCACTCCCCCAGCTTATCTGATCACGCGCTCTTCCCCAAGGCCAGGTGCCCAGGAGGCAGCGGTCAAGGCAGGTGAGGCCTGTGGGGGCGGGGGAAGGAGATAAGAAAATAAAACCAGGAGATCCCAAGAGTGACCGCCCTTCTGGGGAGAGGACCAGGTGTTAAGATGCAGGGTTAGGGAAGGTCTCTAAGCCGCATGACAGGAGCAGCCCTTCACAGGAGCAGATGCGAGGGGGGCTGGAGCAGTGTGAATAGGGCTTTGGGAGACAGCATGGCGGCTACCTCCGTGCAGCAGGAACCCTGAAGGCCTGAAGCCGGGCGTGCCGCCATCTGGTCTTCCAGCCACTTGTCCTTGCAGTGAAGGGCGGTCGGTGCTGGCCGGGGCAGTGGCCAGTCCATCAGATGGGGTGCAGCTGGAGGCACCTGTTCCTAGAGGTTGAAAGGTTTGGAATTGGTGGCTGGGGGAGAATGGAGGCAACCTGGGAGCCAAAGCAGGCAGAGGTGGGTTTGGTGGAATCACAGTTGCTGTGACAGTGAGGTGTGAGTAGACATGCAGATCCGTGCGTGCGCAGGTGCAGGGCGGAGATAGGGTGGGAGTTCAGTCTTGGGCGAGTCAGGGCCTTTGAGGGACATGTAGTGGGGGCACAGGTTGGGCCGAGGGGCATGGCTGGGCTGGAGAGAGGTAGGGTCATGGGAACTCACATGCCCGCCCAGGAGAGTGAATGGAGAGCTGCGAATGGGGGTGGTGGCCCTGAGCCCTCACAGTTGGAGGTTGTTCAGGAGCATCATGGCTTCTGGAGATTGGTGTCCCTGGGTGGCGACTGCGGTGGTGGCAGCGTTCTCATGGAGATGGGGGTGACTTGAGGCAGGGTGTGGGAAATGGGGGGTCCTAGGAGGGTGGGTGGACCCAGCACTGGGGATCTTGGCTGGGCAGAGCTCGGCCTGGTCAGCAGTTCAGGCCTGGGGCAGGGGTCGGAGGTCGGCTCTGGGCCCTCAGGAGGGGCTCTGGGATCCTGCAGTGCACCACACTCAATCCGTGGGCATGGACCCTGAGGCCCTTTTCCGAGTGGTGCTGCCTTCCACTCATGCAGTGAGGAGTGGGAGGGTGGAGGACGCTGATCCCATCCTCCTGCTTTGAGCCTCTGTGCTCATCAGCACACAGGGACATTCACCCTGCCTGAGGTTTAATGGCCTCTGCCTCATGTGGTTCCACTCAGAGGCGGCACCTCAAAGTCTGTGAAAATGAAGCACTGGGCCTCCCCTTCCCCAGCCTGGGAGGGCAGGGGTGCGATGATCTTCACAAGGGGGGCATCTACCAGGAAGCTAGCTGGCTCCCTGGGGGCCCTGACCAGCAACTCTGGTCACACCCTGGTACTTAGGGTCAGCCGAGAGCAAGCGGGAGGGGGCTCTTCTTGTCCTGACACAGACTCCTCAGCCTTCTACCACTGAGGACTGGGTGGGATGGAACTTGCCTTGGGCAGGAGAGTGAGTCTGGGTGTGTGGCAGGAAGCCTTTCAGATATTTGGAGGGAGAAAAAGGCCAAAAGTCAGGCCTCACTTTTTTTTTTTTAATTGCAGAAGGCTGCTGGGTATGTTGCACTTGAAAAAGACATTGTGTACTTCAAATCAAGGGACACCAGGCTGAAGGAAGCCCACAGACACCCAGCTGCCAAGTGCCAAGACCACAGCCGGATTCCTTGCTTGGGTTTAGGCCAGGTCATGGTCAGCCATGGCGCATGCAGCCCCCATAGCACCAGCAGGGCAGACTGGGAGTGGGGTGGCCCCAACCTCGTGCCCACTGCCCCAACTTCGTGCCCACTGCAGCCCCCACAGGTGCCTGCTGCTCCCAGTCCAAGAGCTGGCTCCTCTCATGACGCACTGTCGGCTTGGGGCGTCGGCTGCCCATCTCCCTTCTGCCCCCATTGGCCTTGGCAAGCACGGTGCTTTCATCTCTGGATGACTCGGTGGCCTGTGACCCGACAGGTGGCATCCAGCGATCAGCACTGAGCATGTGGAAGAGCTGTGAGCTGGCCAGGATGAAGTGCTTCTCTTTGGCATCTGGTGCCCAAATGAGAGCGTCTGGCTGGGTCCTGGAGGGCAGCAGTAGACCAGGAAGGCCAGCACCTGCTTTCCCTGTGCCCCAGGGGCCCGGAGCAGTGACATCAGGCCCGACCCTGGCCGAGATCCAGCTGTTAAGGCCACTAACCACGTGACTCTGGCCTACTATGGCCCGTGTGTACTCAGGTGTGATGCTGGCCCTATGTGCGCCCACCCCGTAGGGCCCTTTGCTCAGAGAACTAGGCTGCTCCACCACTGTGCTCAGCAAACTGAACTTTTTTTATTAAGTGCCAAGGTCCAGGCGGGCGCTGCCCCCTGCAGCCCCTCTGCCGAGGCACGTGCGTGATTTCCCCGGCCCCTGCAGGGCAGCAGCAGTCGGGCGCTCACTTTACGTGCTCGGCTGCGTGGGAGGAGCAGTAATACTTTTTGTGGGCGATGAAGGTGGACAGGCTGCTGAACCTGATGTTGCACAGGCGGCAGTACCTGTGGTTGCCGTTGGGCACGGGGGCCGGCGATCCCTGGCTGGGGGTCTGCACGCCCTTGTCCGAATGCGAGGGAGGTGCCGGCACCGCCTCCGGGGACGCGGCTAGGGGCGGGCCGGGGCGGGGGCTGCTGGCAGGCGGCTCCTGCAGGTCCTGGCCGTTGAGGCCATCGCGGGGAGCAGCGGGCGAGGGCGTCCGGGCCTCCGCGCTGGGACCGACTAGGGGCTTGCCCAGCAACAGCCCGTGCGCCAAGCGGAAGTGCTCGATGAGGTCCCCGCGCACCACGCCGTTCGGGGGGCAGTAGGGGCAAACGACGGCGGGCGGGTCCTCGGGGGCCGCACGCAGGCGGCGCGGGGCGGCGGGGCACGAGAACTTTTTGTGCGCCAGGTAGGCCTCGAGGCTGTGGAAGCTCACGCGGCAAGCCGTGCACTCGTGGTAATCGGCCAGGGCCGCCAGGCCAGGCGCAGGGCCGGGGACGGCTGCGGCAGCCTGGCGTCGCGGCTTCTTACTTAGGTCGATAGGGCCTTCGGCCGCGTCCAGGCCGCTTCCGCCTCCACTACCGCTTCCGGGCCGGGGCGATGTGGGAGGTGTGGGGGCGGGTCCGGGTGGCGTAGGGGCGGGGCCTGGCGCGGAGGGAGGGGCAGATCCGACCAGGGGCGGGGCGGACCCGGCCGCGTGCAACTCGTAGAGCTTGCGGCGCCTGCGCGTGCGCACTGGCGGCGCCGAGGGCGCGGGTGTCCCGGCTGGTGCTGGGCGGCGCGGCGGTGGGTCGTGGCGCGAGGCGCAGTAGTAACGCTTGTGCACTGTGTAGGTCTCGTGGCGGCTGAAGCGGATGTTGCAGGCCTCGCACAGCGTCCGGCGGGGGTCGTCATCCTCGTCCGCCCCGCTGCCCGGGCTAGGGCTGCCCTCGCTGCCTCGGCCGCTCGCGTCAGCCTCGGCCTCGGGCGTGGCCGCGCTCCCTGCCTCATCCTCGCGTGCCCCGGGACCCGGCGACGAGCGCGGCGCCTCGGCCTCGGCTGGTGGCGGGGCAGGGGGCACGCGAGGCAGGGCGGGGGCCGCCTTGGGCCGGCGGGCTGGGGGCACGTCGTCGGGCGGTCGGCGGCCAGAGCAGTAGAGGCGCTTGTGCACGTAGAAGTTGTTCACGTTGTTGAAGGTGATGTCGCACTCGAAGCACGTGGCGCCTTTGGGGGCCCCCGCGAAGAGGCTGGCAGGCGCGCCCACCCCCGCACCTGCCTGCAGCCGGCTGTGCACCAGCTCGGACATCTTGGCCAGGATCTCAGAGGCCGGTGGCGCCGCTGGCAGGTGCGGCAGGAACAGTGTGCTGGGACCTGGGCTGGAGCCAGGCGTGGGGCTGGACAGCTCTGCTTTCACCCGCGCGGGGCCAGGGCTAGGTGGTGACGGCGTTCGTGAAGGGGCGAGGGGCCCTGGCTCTGCCTCGGGCTCCTCCGCTGCCTCCACTTTGATGCTCCTGGGGGCCGCTGGGGGCTCGCCGCTGCCCCCGTTCTGGGGACCCGCTCTAGCCTCTCCATTGGTGGCCTCGGCCAGGGCCTTCCTGTCCACTCCTGGCGAGGGGGTGGGCACCAGGCCTAGGTCGGCAGAGGCCAGGGGGCCGTGCAGTGCCGTGTGCTGCTGGAAGGTGGCCAGACTGTCTGTGGGGAGAGCCCAGGGGCCACCTGTCAGGGCTGGAGCAGGACCTGCCTGGGCCAGACCTGAAGCGGGGAGGGTGAGAAGGGAGAACGGGGCCGGGCAGACGTGGTACAGAACCAAGTCTGAAACTGCCACCCCTCCTCCCAGTTCCCAGGGCTCACCTGTGGAGAGCTTGGCAGTGGGGTGGCCCGTCCCTGGTGAGTAGACCTCGGCCTTAGAGCCTGGCTGGCAGACCATGTGGTTGGTCACCAGGTGGCTGTAGAGGATGTCCCTTGTGGTGGAGATGAAGCCGCAGCTGTGGCAGACTCCTGCGAAGGGGCCATGGAGTCAGGGCCCTAGGCGCCGGGCCCCACCGACCTCGCCCACGGCCTCCATCCCCACCCTGCTTACCGGTCAGCGTGTCCGTGTGCACCTTGAGGTGCCGCTCACAGTTGGCCTTCGTGGTGAAGGCGGACAGGCAGATGAGACACACAAAGGGGCGCTCTCCTGGAACACAGGCCTGGTGAGGGAGCCTCACTGGCCAAAGACCCCTAAGCTCTGCCTCCCAGGACCCTGGGGCCCGTGGGAGGCAGCAGGGAATGGTAAGAGAACCACCCAGGCACACACGTGGCTGGCATGCAACCCCAGGACAGGCATGGTGAGCCTGGGTGGGAGGACACGGCGTTGGGGGGGTGCTCACCACTATGGCTACGCATGTGGATCTCCAGGGAACTGGCGCTCGGGCAGCTTTTGCGGCACTGGGGGAAGGGGCAGACCCGCTCATTGGGGTAGGTCTCCTTGGGCTTCTCTTCCGGGGCAGTCACGGCAGGGGAGCCAGCACCCTGGCGGCTGGCACAGTAGTAGAGGAGGTGGGCTTGCAGGTTCCGCTCACTACGGTACCAGATGCCACAGTCTTTGCAGGGAAAGACATCTTCTGAGGGGACGAGAAGGCAGGGGAGAGTTGGGCCCAGCCTGAGGGGGTGCCCCGGCAGCAGTGTGGCCACCTCCCACCCAGGGCAGGCATGGCCCTCTGCAACATGAGGGCTGTGCCGTGGGGTCCTCCAGCTCGGGGGAGTGAGGCCTGTGACTTGGGCTGTGCCTTCTCAGGTGTCCCTTGATGACACTGTGTCCTCTTTCTGTGGCACTCCAGGATGCCATGGGGACACGTGGATGGGGTCCTCCAGGATGGCCCCCGCACTGCTTTCCAACAGTGAGCCCCGTGAGGAGATGCTGGGGTCTCGTGGGTGCCCATGGAAGGAGTGTGGTTGGTGGGGATGACAGGACATGGGGGACGGCCTGGAGCTGGGTGCCCGTGGAGGAGGAGACAGATGGGTGGGCATCCAGGTGCACGTGTCCCCAAGCGCTGGGGGCAGGTGGAGGCCAGGAGCTGCGGGGGACGAAGAGCGTCCGAGTCAAATACACCCCCCACCTGATGGCTCCATGTGTTACTGGTCAGACTTTGCTGACTCGCCACACTTACCCGCCTGGGCTGCCTCTGCGTTTCCGGTTTATGGGAGTCTGGCCTGTGGGGGTGGACCTGCCAACTGGTGAGGATTTCTCTGATGGGCGCTTCAGCAGCCCTCAGGTTCTCAGAGATCCTTAAGGAATGTCCCGTCGTTTCTGCCCTGCTCTGTGGCTGAACCCAGGGAGGGGGAGGCTTTGTTCTGTGTCCTGACCTTGATGTGGGGTGGAGGAGGCTGGGACCCCTTCCTGGGGTTTTAACTTCTGTAGGTTAGGATGTGTTCCTCACCTCGCTGGTTGGCAGTTATGGAGGGTTGGCTGCCTCCCTACCGCCTGCAGGTGCTGCGGTCCCCAACCTGTTTGGCACCAGGGGCCAGCTTCATAGAAGGCAATTTTTCCACAGATGGGGGTGGAGTGGGGATGGTTTGGGGATGATTCAAATGCATCACATTTATTGTGCACTTCATTTCTGCTGTTACATCAGCTCCATCTCACATCATCAGATGTTAGATCCCAGAGGCTGGGGAGCCCTGCTCTCAGGAATGTAGTACCTGTCTGTGGGGTGAGGTCATCCTTTCATGCGCAGTATCTGCAGTTTCTCTGGCCTCAACCTTCCCACTGTGTTACCACAGGTTTTCAAGTTCCCTTTTATTTGGGGGCCTCAGAGCAGCTCTGTTCTCTTACCAGCAGAGGCCTGGAGCTGGGATCCAGATCTCTGGGGCTGGTGGTGGGCTTTTGCTATCTGCAAGCTCAGTGCTAGGGGGTGGGGGGCTGGCTGTGGCACGGGGAGGGGTGGGAATCATGGAGCCCCAGGTGAGCCCTAGCCCTGAAACAGCGAGGATGGTCACGGCCCCACTGACCAAGGGTGACCCGAGTCCTGGGTGGACACAGCCCTGTGACCTGCACAGATGCCTTGAGATGGGCATCAGCTCCACTCCTCTCACAGTGAGAAAATGGAGGCTCCAAGCGCTAGTCTCAGGAATTAAACTGGGTCTGATTGACTGTGGAGCTCAGGATCTGAGGACCTTTCTAGACCACCAGCTGGAGACCCACTTGAGGCTGGGTTGGGGTTGGTGTAAACTCGATAGCAAGCCCACCATGGCCTCACAGATGAAACATCAAACTCAAGGGGAGGGAAACGGAGGCCCAGAGAGGCTGCCTCTGAGCTGGCTCTAGAGGAAGTCCTCCAGCACTGGGGCTCCTGGCGGGCCCCCCTCCAACACAGAGGGGAGACAGGCCCTGCTGGGCAACAGATGCCATTTCCTGCCCTGGTGCAGTGGCCATCCTGGCCCCTTAGAGACCCTTCCATTCAGCCTCCCTCTTTCCTGAAACTTCGGTGTTTAGATGAGACCCCTCTGTGCTCACCACCGCCCTAAGCCCCCTGCAGGACCCATTCTCCCTGGGGCAGTGGCCTGGCCCTGTCCAGTACAGTCCCTCCATGCGGGCTCTGGGCACGGGGCTCCTGCCTGCGCTTGTCCCCCTCCCCTCTGGTGACACCCACCTCACTTGGCTGCAACTGTTTGGGTCATGGTGTCTGTTCCAGTGTCCGCAGATGCTGTCTCTCCCTGGGGCCTCATGCTGCCCAGAGCTCCCCACTCTGGCCACACCCTGAGTCCCAGCACAGGTCCACTTAGTGCCCAGCAGGCGCCTCGGGTCAGGCTGCTGGGAGGGCCCTCCTCCCTGCCTGTGATGGACGAACAGTGCACGGCCATGCCGCAGCCCTGGCCTCGTGCCGCTGCCTCCTCCCCCAGCAGGCCTTTGGGCTCCAGCGCCTCTCCAGCCTCTGCCTTGGTGCCTCCACCCACTTCAGGTCATCATCATGTTTGACCTGCTTAAGAAGAAGGCCACTTTTCTCCATCTAACAGCCATGCAATTTTAGAACTAAATTGGATCCCTGACTTAACAACTGCATACACACTGCTGCCTGAAAGCCCTCTGCTGGGGTTATTTCTCAGAAGGGACCCCAGCCCTCACGTGGGACCACTCTCGGAGTCTTGCTGTGGCCAAGGTGACAGTCTTGCTGGGCCGCCTGTCCGCACAGCTGCCCTCCCTGGTCTGGGGTCTCCCGAGCACCCTGACTGAGGCAGCCCCGGCCAGTGCCCACGTCACTGTTTTTCCCCCATCGTGAACCTGTCCATGGCCACCTGCCTCTGCCCTGGGGGTGGTGGTGCTTCCCTCAACACAGGCAGGCCCCCCCACTGCTTGGTTTGGTGTGGACATCAAACAAGGATTTGAGGAATAAGCAAGTCCAGACCCTCTGCTGGTTGTGGGGAGGGTCCCTCTGCTTCAGCTGTTCTCACTGGCGGTTTTGTCCCGGGGACACAACCACGTCCCTCACAACTGGGAGGCAGGGGGCAGGGCCAGCACATAGTGGGTTCAGGCAGGGCCCCTAGGGTGGGCGTATCAGAAACCCCACCCCAGCCCCACAAGGCTGGCTGAGGAGGAGCTGCAGAACATGTGTGTCCCAGACATGCCAGGTGAAAAGCCCCCTCACCCATGGGCTGCATCCTGGGGCTTTCCCCGGAACCCTACAGCCAGGCCTCCAGGCCTCCTCTAGTCAGCTAACAGACCAGGTGACTGGTCCCTGCAGATCTTAAGCTGGGTACCCCTTGCAGTCTAGAGGGGGTGAGTGGCAGTGGGTTACTCACTGTTGACGACCGCGGTTGCAAGGATGGACGCCATGCCGGCCTGCTGGGGCAGGAGCTGGATGTCGGGGTGGGAGGGGGCTGGGCTCTCGGGCTCCACCGGCTCCTTCTTCACAGGGTGGCTGGGGTTGCTGGGGGGCTTGGCCACCAGGAGCACTTTCAGCTGTCCACCTGCAGGCACCGGCCTGGTGAGCCTGCACCAGAGGGCTTCATCTGCAGGGGAGGGCAGCTGTGACGCGGCAGCCGGCAGCTCCAGGCCACGACGGCCATGCCTCTGCAAAGACTACCCACCCACCCCAGTTTTATCCTCCTGAGCGCCTCTGCACGACCCCATCTGAGGCACCTGGGTTCTGCAGCTGGGCGCGGGGGCTGGAGAGAGGCCGCACCAGGTGGGCAGCTGTGGCCAGCTCGTGTCCACGGTGCCCGCTGCCTCCTTGGGGCTCCTGAGTGGCCCCCCGGAGTCTGCCTGCTCTTTGGGCCTCCCCGCCCAAGCCTGTCTGAGTGGGAGGGCCCTTTTCCAGGAGAGGGGGGTCAAGCAGCCCGGAGGGCTGGGTAGCCAGCCACTCACCAAGCCCTGCAAAGGACTCACAGCCCAGCCAACATAGCTGTTTCCACAGCGGCCTGCAGGTGGCAGCCTCGGCTAACAGGACTCGGTCCAGCTCAGAGGCTGCTAGGAGCCTGCCTTCCCTAAGAGGCACGACCCCAGGCCACCTTATGAGGCCCTCAGGGACCCTTGTCCTACCCAGGCAGATGTGCCCTGCTGACCAGGCCAGGCAGTGCTAACAAGGCCATGTCCCAGTCAGGTGTCCAGGCCCCTAGTTGGTCACCTGCTGCCAACCCGGGCCCTCCACTGCTCTCTGGGCCCTTAAGAGTACCCTCAAGCAGGGAGGAGGGGTTGGGGTCCTCTAGAGAGGGGTACACAGGGGCCATGTTAGCCAGGTCCATGGGTCAGCACAGGTCCCTGGGTGCTGATCTCAACCACCGCTTGGGCCCTCGTGCCCCGGGGACCCCACATGGGGAGGGGCTAGGGTGGGTGCTGGAGCAGCAGCCCAGCCTGGTCCCCTCTTGCCCCCAGGACACTTAATTCATTGTACTCAGGCGATGGTGAGGGGGACACCCCCAGAACATTCTACCAAAGTGGAGCCCCCTGTCGGGGAAGGAGGTGGGTTTCCGTCAGCAGGCACATGGCCCTTCTAGGTGTCCACGCTGTGGTGGATGGCCATTGTTGGGGTGGAGAACTTGTCATGAGTCTGTCCCACCCACCCTGGGACCAGAGCCTCCATCTGTAAAGGAAGGTCCCCACCTTGACACCCAGATCGTCACATACTGGGAAGGCTGGTCTGGGCAGACCCGGGCAGGCAGGACGAGGATACCAGGGGTGCCGAGGACCCAGCCCGCCCCCCTCCCTTGAGGGCCACTCCTGGATGGCACAGGAGGGACATGGGGGCGAGTGCTTTCCTTCTCCTCACAAGACGGAGACCCCACATGGACCTGCTGGCCCCTACCAGACCCGGTAGCCCACCAGGCCTGGTTCCTCTGCTGCCCTGGTGGTCTCCCAGAGGTCCTGAGGGCAGTCCTGGCCTCATTGGGGGGCTGTTCCTCCATGCCCAGGCAGACGCCTGTCCAGCCTCAGACTGGCATTGATGGGGGCATGGCAGCAGTGGCCCAGGCAGGCTGGTTTGCCTTTAAGGGCCGCCCCAGGGAGAGCATGACCCCCTCCTCCGGAAGCCATGAGGGAAGCGCCAGGATACCAACCCTTCCGGTAGATCTCCGTGTTGGCCTCGGCCTCGGCCAGGGCCTGGGGCAGTGTCCTCAGCCAGCAGGCCTCGTCCTCCAGCAGCAGGGTCAGGGCTGGGCTCTGGGGGCAGGAAGAGGGGTCAGCAAGCACTCAGTCATGTTCCTGGACACAGCAGAAAGAGGTAGGCCAGGAGCATCTCAGGGGCCATGTGGGCAGAAGCCTGAGAGTCCATCCCACGGGTATCTCGTCCAGGCTGCACCAAGCATCATGCTAGCAACAGGCACACCGCAGGGAGCCGGCGCCTTCCACGGGTCAGGTGCTGGGTTCACTGGGGAACTGAGGCCCAGAGAGGTCGAGCAGCTTGCCCAGGGTTGCACAGCCAGTGAGTGGCAGAGTAGAGGCATGCCCAGACCTCTGTTCGCTGCAGCCGCCCCCTCCCGAGTGGGCTGCTACCCCAGGCTCAGGCTCCTGGCGCACAGGCCCCTGGAGTGAGCAGGGGACTGGCCTGGAGGAGACGGCATCGTTCCTGTCCTCCCTCTCAGCCCCGGGGTGTGCCGGTGCACCTCTGTCTGGTCCATCCCAGGGCCGGCAGATGGCGGACACGCGAGGAACTTCTGCCTGGGCCCAGCAGCCCCACGAGGACCCCGGGCAGCAAGACGTCCCCCTGCCTTGCTGGCTGAGCAGCCAGCCTCCTCGTGGCTCCCAGAGCATGGTCAGCCCCTTGCCCCCACCTTGCTGGCAGCACACTCCTTCCACCTCACAGGTGAGGGAAGGGAAGGGGGCCAGCTCACTCCCCCAGCAGCCTGGCCTGAGTCTAGTCTTTGAGGCGCCTGGCAGGGAGAAGTGCAGTACAGAGCTCGCCCTGCCTGGCCGCAGGTGGTTAGAGTGACCACTGCCGCCCGTCAGGCTGCAGCCCCAGGGCTGGGTGGGTTCTGGACTGCTCCTTTCCAGTGGGGTGGCCAAGCTCAGTCCCTGGGTGCCATGTGCAAACTGTGTTGAGCTAACCGTAAGACTGTGTTAGCTGCTGCCCCCAGGACGGGGACGTTTGTGTACCCCGGGGCACACGTGGCAGTTGGCCAGGATGCTACGTGGTGGGATGGCTTGGGCAAGTAGCACTTGTGGGGCTCCTCTGACAGGTTGTGGGCACCACCACATCTGGTCCAAGCCCACGGCTTTACTGGGCTTTGCATGCAGGGACCACGTGGGCTCCAGAGCTGGGTACCGGGGCGCAGTTCAGACTCCCTGACTGGGAGACTTGGGAGGGCACTGGCCCTCAACGCACAGCGGCCTCACCACACCCCTCTGCGCCTTGTCCTCATGCTGCGGTGGACTTGCGCAGCCCCGCCAGTGGACCGGCTGCACAGCTCAGTCGTGGAACAGTCGAGCGGAGAATAGTCAGCCGGTGGGTCACGGGAGTGGAGCTGGCCAGCACCATGCCCACCCTGCCTGGGCCTCAGCATCTCTGCAGACAGCGATGCCCGGAGCCCGCCTGCCCCCTTGACCGACCCTGTGCTGCTGCTTGCTCTCGGGGTGGGTCACGTCCCTCTCTGTGACTCAGTTTCCCCTGGGGCACCGGGCAGTCACCGTCGGTGTGGCGCTCCCCCCGCTTTGGACAGCGCCTGCCTGGCAAGTGAAGAACAGGAGCACGGCCACCCTTGCTCCTCCATTCCCTCCGGCCGGCAGGACACAGCGGGCAGGGACTGTGCCTCCGGGCCCAGGAGGCCACCAGGCTGTCAACCGCCAGACATCAACTGGAGGCGAGGGGCTCCACCAAGGAGCTGGCTTTTGAGGGACTGCCACAGAGCCGGGGGTCTCCCCGCTGGGAGGTTTCTGCCACCCACAGCTGGGGACAGGCCGGGGCCAAAGTGGAGTGGGTGCAGCAGCACGTGGCCAGCAGCTCCCGCATCCTGGCTGGCCCGACCTAGGCCAGCAGCTCGCGGAGGCGGGGGCCTTTCCGCGTCTCTAATGAATATTAATGAGTGGAGGAGGGAGAAAAAATTAATCTGCCTGATCCTCTGATGGGTGCTGTGGTAACGATATGAAATCTAATTATTCGTCCCAATATTTCTAAACCCTCAAACTGAGACTGACAGCCTCCCGGTCGGTTTAGTGCTTATCACTCCCGGGAGCGGCGTGTTCGCGGCATGATAAAAGCACAGCCCTGCTGACGCTGCAGAACCCTCGATTCTCCACGTCCGTCCACGCGGAGGGCAGGAGGCAGCGCCATGTTCCTGGGGGCTCTGTGCCTCCTGCCAGGAGCCGCCCCTTGCCTGGTGGCTGCCCTGGACTGGCTGGGTGCCCATGAGGGTGGGCGAGGGGCAGAGGACGTGGGGACCCCATGCCTGAATTCCAAGAGGGAGAGGGGCCAGGAGATCCAGGGTTAGGACCCTTCCCCCTCATTCCCTTGGCCCTTAATACTCTGGGGGAGCCTGGCCCCCACTTACATGGGGAAGGCTGAGCCCACCACCCCAGCCTCCCCTCCTGCGCTTGGACCCTAGGGGTGCAGGCATCAGTGCCCCACCACAGTTCCAGGGAAGGGAGCACGCCTCCACCCACCCTGTCCCGGCAGCTGCAGCCTGCCCCCCACCCAGCCCTGGGTGGTAAGGACAGAGTTCAGTCTCTGCCCCCCGTGCTGTGAAGGGGCTGACACGGTTTGAGCTGCCCTATTCTATCTTTTCTTCTCCCCTTCTGCCCCCACCCTAATTCCAGGCAGTCCTGGGACAGAGCCCTTTTCTCTGGCGATTGAAGGGCCTGTGGGCAGCAGGGTGTGAGCCTGGCCCTTCTGCCAAAACTATCAGAGACCGGCTACCTCCCCTCCCCGGGTGCCCCCAGGCTCACTGCTGGGTTTGGGTCTAGCTCGCTCTGGACAGGCTAGGTCCAGAGTGAGCAAGAAGCTTGGTACCCCACCCTGCCTTAGCTGTGGGGGTTGCTTGGCCCCTTCCTGACTAGGCTTCCCCACCCAGCCCCGGGATAGCGGGCGGCCCCTTTAAATTCTCTGGGTGCATCTGAGAACCCTCCTTGTTCCCCCAACAAAGAGGTCAGTGTCTGGGTTCTCTGCCCGCCGATAACCATCAGAAACCCTATCTCCACTGCATCCGCTGTGACAGCCATATCTCAGGCTGTTCCCAAACCTGCCTTGCGTCCGTGAAGCAGTGTCCAGGGGCGGTGGGGTCCTGGTTCAGGGACCCAGACGGCCCATGGAAGGCCAGGGGCGCAGGCTGTGGTGGGCTCTGATCAGGCCTGCGCCCGTCTTGTCGGTCCGTCTCACTCACCATTGCCAGAGGCATCCCCACCCTGGGGGAGGCTCAGGTGTGTCAGGTGAGAGAGGCACAAGGGACCCACTGTGTGCCTCGCCCGGGCTGGGCGTCCTCCCTTAGGGATCACTCCCTACGGCAGCCGCAGGAAGAGGGACCTCACCGGGAGGGCACTGGACCTCACCGGGAGGGCACTGGTCTGGTGCACTGCGGCACCCCACCCTCTGGCCAGGGCTCGTCCTGCTGAAAGTTTGGCTCTGCCTGGCCATGACCACTGATGACAGCCTTTGGGGCGGCGGGGTGGGGGTTCCCATGGGGAGGCTCAGAGGCTGTTGTTCCCGATGGCGCAGCCCCATCTGTGTGGAGCCAGCTGACCTCATGTCAGCCTCATGGGCAGGGGCTGCCTGCCCAGACTTGCTGCTCCTCCAGAGGGTCCCTCCTGCCTTTCACTGACGTCACGGTGGCCTTGCAGATAAAGTGGATGAGCTCTGGGAGGGCAGCTGGACAGATATATGGATGGGCCAGGTTAGTGCAGGTCTGCTTGTTCATTCATCCATCCACCATCCATTTACCCTTTCACATAGTTACATACCTACCTACGCAACCATTCACCTACTCATCCACCCATCTTCTACCTGCCCACAGATTCACTCACCTATCCATCCTTCACTTGTCCATCTATCTTCCATTTATCCATCCATTATCCACTCATCCATTCACCATCTACCTGCCCATCCATCCGGCACTCAACCTTCCATCTGACATCTACTTATACATGCATCCATCCATTTATCCATCCAGTGTCCACTCAACCTTCCACCCATCCTCGTCCATCTATTATCCTTCCTCTATTATCCATCCACCTTTTGCCCATACATCCAGCACTTAACCTTCTATCCAACATCTATCTGCCTGTACAAACATCCATCCAGTTATCTAGCCAGTATCCACTTACCCTCCCATCCACCTCTGCCCATCATTCTACCATCCAGGTCATCTGTTTACCATCTGCCTGTCCACCCATCCATCCATCCCTCTACCTATCCTCCACTCATCATCCTCTTACCCGTCTACATATCTGCCCACCACCCATCCTGAACATTTGTTCTGCATCTGAGTACACATTTTACACTGCTGGGCCTCCAACCCCTGGGTTTTCAGCAAAGGCCACAGTTGCATCCTGGGGTACCTTGAGGTCCCACAGTGAACCGACTCGACTCCTGGCAGGCTCTGTGTGCTGTGTCCTTGCCTCGGTCCCATCCCCAAGGCCCGGCATGTGCCTCCCCTCCACTCTGCAGGCAGCCTAGGCCCAGGGTGATGGTGGGAAAGTGCTGCCGAACTCCGGAGTTGCCCCTCTCCCACTTTGTCCTCCAAACAGCAAAGACAAGCTACATGGCGGGCGACGGGACAGTCTGGGGTGGGAGGTACGCGGGGGAGAGAGCTGGGCCCATCAACTGAACTCGATAAGGGGCCCGCTGGAACACTAGCGAAAATATTTAGACAATAAATGAAGTATCGGAGAGGCACACGTATCTTTAAGAAATCAATCATCTTGTACGCGTGTCTGGACACTTGGCGCCAAGGCGGAGATAGCGCCTGCTGGGGAGATAAGGGTTAATCAAGGATTTAATTCTGCAGGAGATAAAGTCGCAGGCCTAGCGGGCTGCCCTTCCTCCCTGGGCTCCTCTGCGCGAGTCTCAGAGGAGCGCTCCCTGGACACTATCTCCCTGCCTGGAGAGGGTTTCCAGCCTCACGCCAAGTCTCCCCAGGCTGACCTGTGCCCTGGGCCCAAGGAGTACAAGAACCTCTAGAGGGGAGGCTGCCGGCGGGAGGGGAGGGTCCGGGGGTGGGGGTGCAGTGGGGATCTCGGGGCTCCAGTCCCCCAGCCCCACCTTCAGGGGTCTCTGCTCTTTGGTCCTGGTGACTGCATCATGTTACCTCCCCTTTTGGGCCTCAGTTTTCTCATCTGGACATTGGGAACAGCAGTGCCTCCCTCCAGCAGGGAGAAAACGAGGGGCCAAGTCTAAAGACGGGCGCCTAGAGTTGTGTCTGGAACAGCCAGCTGTCCCTTGGAAGGAGGAAGGAGTGGAGGGAGAGGTGGGGGCCCGGCTCAGGACGGAGGGCGCCAGTCAGCCTGCCCTGGTGCCATCACCACTACAGCTTTTCTCGACACTTGAGAGTTGAGATGTGACAGTCACAGAGCTCCCACCAACACCTCCCTAACAGCTACCCTCTCGAGGGTAGGCTGCTACTTGCATCCCTCCAGTGACAGGGAGCTTCTTGCCCATAGGGACTGCGGTAAGCACCACAGCCTCAATCACACAGTGGAGCCAAAGTCTGGCTCCTTCCAAGGAGCTGAAATCCACGCTGGAGCTCTCGCTGCTTCCTACCTGCTTGGGGCCTTGGGACAGGAGGATCGCCCTCCACAGGGTGCCGGCCATGCTGCCCTGGTGGTGTGGCCTGGGGTAATCGCCGCACGTGTATCACCTCATTTAACCCGCCCAGCAACTCCGGGAAGCCGGCTTCCCCGCCTTACAGACGAGCTGCCGCTCTGCCACCCTCTTCACTGCCGGGAGTGCAGGCTCATGCCTCAAGGACCCTACAGGACTCCCGTGTGTCCCCAGGAGGTTCCCTGGGCTGAGGAGAGAACAGCTCAGAGAGGTGGGGCACACGGCAAAGCGGCCACAGGGTGGGAGACCCCAGGGTCTGACCCTGTGCCATGGGAATGGCCTGGCCTTGAAGGTGGGCGCCCTGCGTCCTGGGCCAGCCTCCCACCACCTCACTGAGCCGTCTCCAAGCTCCTGAAGCCCGGGTTCCGATTCTGAGACCTCTGCCCCAGCGTGACCCATGCCCAGGCTTCACTTCTCACCAGCGTGGCTAGGGGCCGTGAGCCACTGTTGGAAGGGCATGGCTGGGGATCCTGCCCACGCTCCCAGCCAGCCCTGCTGCAGGCCCTGTGCCTGGGCCTGGTTCCCTCTGCAGAGAAACAGGCTCTGTCGGGTTGGAGCTGATTAGGGCTGTGGGGAGGAGGAGAGGGGCAAGCCCACCCTCACGGCCCCGCACTGCCACTGAAGGCCGACCAGAGGCCCAGCACCACAGGGCACCTGCCAGCACCCCGGATCCAGCCTCACCTGAATGCCACACTAGCAATCACAAGGGCCCAGGTCATGGCTGCGCCTGCACATGCGGGGCGCTGGGCCCTGGACTTGGGTGACCCAAGCTGGGTGCTGCCTGGCCTTCCAGGCCAGCATCACCACGGCTGGAGGTGTTTCCCGAACACTCATCATGCACAGCCTCCCTCCCCACCCCATTCCCATCACAGCAGGTGCCCACTCCACCGCCCACACACCAACCCACACAGGTTCTAAAATGAGCACTTGTGCCCCCTGCGAGAGGACGCCGCACAGACTCGCCTTAAGGACAGGGCACCTCAGAAGTGGCCCTGAGACAGGTGACATGTTGCCCAGTGGTCATCAGCCCGCACTGGAGGCACTCGGGCACCGACAGGGCCTGCTCCCTGTCGTCAGGAGGACCCACAGGCACGGGAAGGGACGCGTCGCTCGCCCTGGGTGGCAGCTGTATCCAGAAACCCACCTCACTGGCCACTGGGGGTGGCTCCGCCCCTGAAATCCAGTGCTGGGGGCAGCGCCGCCTGCCTGCCTGGGCACAGGCCAGGCCCGGCCCCAACACTTGGTTCCTTGTTGCTTCCTCCCCTCAGATGCCCTTCCCTTTCTCTGCCTCACCAGCGTCTATTCCGTCACCGAAGGCTGGCGTAAAGAACCCTGGCCCTGGCAGCCCTTCCATGGTCACCCTGAGGCCCCATAGGCCCTGCACCACCTCTTCCAGGCAGCCCTCCCTGTGCTCCCACAAAGTTACCTCTTCCCTTCCCTCCTGGTCCCAGCACCTCATATCTGCATCTCCTGACCTGTTTCAAGTAGAGAGGCAGGAGCTCCTGGGCGGGGGTCTAGCCCAGGTTTGGACACTGCCTTGGCCTATGTGGCTGAGATTGGACTACTTACCACTTCTGCCTGTCCGGGGGACGAGGCTCTGGTCTGGATGCTCCCGCGGAACGGGCCCCAGGACAGGCCCTTGGTGAGGCTGCACCGAGCCCGCACGCACCTCTGTCCATCTTGCAGCAGCGGCTCCAGCTCGTCTATAGGGAGAGATGTCAGAGGTGTGAGGAAGGCCCATTGCCCAGGTTCAGTCCATCCTTGCAGCCCCCCTCACCCAGGAGCATTCGGGGGACTGAGGGTAGAGGAGGGTGGGCAACGGGTGGGTGGCCCTGTGGCCTGGCCCAGGTTACGAGGGTGGTGTTGGGTCCTGGGGGCCAAGCCAGACCCCACGCTCAGACCTTTTATGGGGGATGGCAGGCTGCAGCAACCAGACAGCGAGGGGTGCCTGCCACTGGATCTGAGCAGGTGGGCGCACAGCTCGGGGACCACACCTGCCACATTGGGACGCGTGTGCCTTGCACAGCTCAGGACAGACACACAGAGCTAGGTCACTCCCTCTGCCTTACACAGGGGCGACACTGCCAAGGATGACGATGCCGACAAGACCCACCTCCCGTCCCACCACACAGTCCTCCTGGCTGTCCCGAGATCTGCAGAGCGCACCTGTGCAGGCAGCGGTGGAAATGCTGGTTTCCCACTGTGAGTCAGGGACGGCATACCTCCCACCTCCTGGGGTTGGGGTGAGGTTGAGTGAGTCAGTCCTCTTAGCACCTGAGCACAGGGCCCAGCAGGGGAGCCAGGCCAGGAGCTAAGTGTCCTGCCCCCCGAGGTCCTTGGCACAGCCAGACCGCGTGCACCCAGGTGGCGCTATCACTCCCTGCAGGACCCCCACCCACTCTCTGGAAAGGTCTGGACCGGATTCCTGTTGTGGCCCTTGGTCAGCAGCTGCCTTTCTGAGCAGTCTGCTGCGCTACTGGGGGTCGAAGGCTCTCAGGCTGAGGCCGCCTGTGCTGTGGCCGGGGCGGCCACTGCAGGGCTCTGTCCCATGGATGTGGACTGCTGGCCTCTGCCGGGAGCCTCCCCAGTCCCTCTCACGGGGCAGGACCTCCGGGCTGCACAGTGTCTGCAGTCAGGCTCCCAGGCTCAGCCGGGCCTTGCCGCACGACCCACATAACCTCATGGGGTGGACCACAGGGCAGCCCCTAAAGACATCTGTGCCGCACCCTGGGGTGGGCCCTGCAGCAAACGACAGGGTCTTCGTGAGAGAGACACAGGAAGAAGCCCCTGTGAAGATGGGGCAGGGACTGGCGTGACACAGCCGCGGGGACACTGTCCCTGAAGCCTCGGGACTAAAGCTCCAGAGCTGTGAGAGAGCAGATTTCGGACATTTCAAGGCACCAAGGTTGTGTGATTTTCCCTGGGCTGCCCTGGGAGAGACACATGTGGCAAGTTACCCGCCGGCTAGAAGCAGTGTCCTCACCAGGGAGGGGATGATGGTGGCCGCGCCCCGACAGGGCGGTCCCTCCACAGGCCACACGCCCTCGGCCCTGGAAGGCAGGGCCACCTGGTCCCTTAGTTGCCACCTGGGCCTACAGAAGCCTCATGTGGCCTGGCCCGGGCCCCGAGCAAGCACTGCCGTGTCGGCCCCACTTCCTGGATCCCTGATCGGGCAGGCTGTGGCCTTAATGGGCCTGATTATCAGATAACTGCCGGCCTAATGGCACAGATAACGTGCAAATACGCCAGGAGGCCTGGCTAAAACGTTCTAACTGGGTCCTTGTCTTCCCCAGGGCTGATAAGATGGCAGGGGACCAGGACGAGGCCAGGAGGCGGTGCCCTTTATCGGCCCTGTGGGGAGGGGCAGAGGCTGCCCCGTTGCTCTGTGGCCCGCCCACAAGGGGCTGTGTCCTCTACCTGCGCACCAGGATGGCCTGGGTCCTGGCCAGGGCTCCGCAGGGTACTGGCTGGCACCCGGTCACCTGTTCCTGCCCCAACGGCCCTATGACATTGGCCCTCCCCTTGTTCCCCCCCCCCCCCCAATACAGATGAAGAAACAGGCCCTGAGAGGTCATGAGGCTGGCAGTGGGAGGGCAGGATCTGAGCCCAGGTCCCTGCTCTCCAGGGTGTACCTGGGTCTCTGGTGCCCCATCTGGCTGGCCCCAGGGGTGGGAATGTGGGGAATAGAAGAGGCTGCCTAATGGCAAGCTTGCTGGGCTCTCGTGGGTGTTGCTTCTGAGGCTGGGGGGAGCCCACCAGGGTTAGGATATACTGCCTGTCCCTCCCATTGCCCTCACTGGAGGCAGGGGTCAAGGAGGAATCTTTCAGAGCCCCAGTGGGCAGACAGCCAGAGCCTTCAAGCCTCGCGGGGTCTGCACACGCACAGGCCTCTGGAGCAGGGAGGTCCACACCCCTCCCTGGACCTCAGCTCTGCTGCTGGGGCCACGGACAAGCCAGAGGCAGTCCGTTCACTGTCCAGGGCCTGCTTCTGGCTGGTCAGGCTGGGGGCACCCTGCAGGAGACAGTGCTGTCCATCTGAGGCCAGCACCCACCTTCCCCAGGGGAGGAGAGCAGGAAGTCGGTTCAGTCTTCCCAAGAGTGGCTGAGTCCCACCCAGACCTGGGGACACAGCGGGGACGGGGGTGGCTGGCCCAGGTCCCCCTCCAAGGGGGGGATAGGGTGCAGCCCTGGGCTCCCAGTCGCCCCTGACTTGCTACAGCTGTGGGATCCTGAAGCCCCTCTAGCCCTGGCGGCCTCCTGGAGGAAGGGGCAGAGCACCCACCCACGCCGTACCACAACAAACTGCCGGCTCCCTAATCGCACCCCAGGGCTGGCGGCCCCCGCTCCTAGATAACAGCATGGCTGGTGCTTCCCGTGGCAGCCGCTCCATCTCCTGGGTATCACGCACCACCAGAGAGGACGGCTCCTGATAAAGGCAGCCGTTCAGCATGAGGAGGTAGAACCCACCACTTTGGGCTTGCTGGGGGCAGGCCCAGGCCTGGGAAAGGCATGGAGGCCAGGGACCTGAGGGATGTGAGCTGAGGATCAGGCAACGGTCAATCAGAACCCACATCCCTAGTCCAGTGAGGCTACCCCTGAGAGGCTGGGCAATAGAAAGGGTACCCCATATCGGCAGTCAGGGCCATAGCAGGTGCCTGGCTCGGTGGGGTGAACATGGCTAGATCTCAGTCTCAGCTCACTCAGTGCATTTGTGCAGTACACAACCTGTGCAACTGTCCACGGTGGCCCTGGTGATGTTCTGCATCCAAACACTCAGATAACCTATTTCCAGCTCCCAGTTCCTGCCTAACCCCAAGCACAAATCAAGCAGGTGTTAAAGCCCAGTTAGCAACTATCAGAGACCCTTTCCCAACCAGCAATAAAACTGTATCCAAAAAAGTAGGGGGAAGGTGGGTGAGGCCACCTACCCCTGGCAGACTGGGTACTCGGTGAGAGCTCCATTCAAAACTGAGAATGACTTAAAGTATGAATGAGCAAGGAAGGGGCTGGGGGTGGGAGCTGACCAGGTAAGTGACAGACAGGAAGACACAGCTAATTTTAAACGGCACCTAAAGCTCCAGAGGATCTAGACACTGGTGGCCTTGGAGATGGTCAGCTCCCAACTGCACTCACAGGAAACATGGAGCCAGGGAGGCCCAGGAGTGCTCAAGCCACAGTGTGAGGCCTCGCCAGGTGGGACCGGAACCATCTTTGAACTTAACAAAACCCCAGGTGGGTACCTGGGGCAGAGCTGAGGGTGGCACATCCTCTGCCGTCAGAACTCCCAGGAAACATGGGTAGCAGTGGCAGTGCCGCTGGTGGGCCAATCAGGGTGGGCTTCCAGGTGGAGGTGTCCTCCACCCTGGGAGCCTCCTGTGACCATGTCTCCATCTCCTCCTGCCAGCTCCAGAGAAGCTGGAGTAAGCAGAACAGCTAGGACTCCAGCTCCAGCAAGGTCCTGGCGGAGTCTTCCCTGCCTTACCTACCACGGCCCTGTCCCCACAGCTGGACAGTGGGGGAACGATGCCACCTGCCGAGAACTGACGCGGTCCTAATGGAGTTTCCAGCTTGTTTATTGAGCCTTAGCCAAACGCTTGCCATAAATCATAGGGATTCCTCCCAGCCACGCTGAAGCTGTCCCCCCACAGGTGTACAGGGGGAGGTTCAGAGAGGTTAAAAGACCGGCCCGGGGTACAGAGTTGGCTTGTGGGATTTGACCAGAGCCCTAGCACGCTCCCAGTCAGGGCCCTGACACCCTCTTCTGGGTCTTTCTGGGTGGAGGCAGGAGGCGATAGAGAAGAGAGGGTGGGGAGAGGCAGCTGGAGGGCAGTGGGGGGCAGTGAGCAGCCCCTGCTCTCCTGTCGCGGGCTGGCTCCTCCTGGTGTGGAGGAGGGGCAGGCCTGGGTGGGCCTCCCCACGGGGGTCGGGCCATCACTACCAGCACAGTGTCGGGACAGAGACTAATTTATTCTGGCAAACAACCCCACACATGTTATTTCCAGAACAAACATGCCACACTGGGATTCAGTTTCACCCCCAAAGCATGTGTGAGAGTCCAGATGAGAAAATTCAGCCTTTGCATATTTACATGATTTAAACATCTATTTAGGTCTCAAACCGCTTCAATGGCGTCCTGAGGGGCCAGAGAAAGGAGGCAGGACTGGGCATGGCCACCCCAGGCCTTGCGTGGGAGCCCAGTAGATGGGGTGGCGGCTGGGAGCACTGGGGTCTGGAGTCTACAAACAGGCCAGTCCTGCCACTGCCTGGCTCTCGCTGAGCCTCAGGTCACCTGTTGGGCTGGTGGCTCCGAGAGTAAAGATGGTGCCCATCAGCATGTGGGCCCGGCACACCCCCTCCCCTGCGCCTGGGTGTTTCCACACCTCTGGTCCTGCCAGGGCTGCGAAGGGCTGTCCTCAGACTCGGCCCTGCCCCCAGCTCTGTCCCACAGCCTGGAGTCCTTGGCGGCCTCCTTCAACAGCAGGTGAAACAGAGAAGGTTCTAGTCTCCCTGTGCTTCCCACTGGAGTGGCCCAGAGAGCTCAGATGCTCAGCAAGGGCTGCAGCCATGTGGCCAGACCCGAGCTCCTTCTTGAGGAAGGATTCGGGGCTCCAACCCAGACCATCTGGCCCCGGAGCCCACAAGCCCAGACACCCCCAGGTCCTGCCGAACCACGGCCCACTGGCCGCTTGGCGGTTCTGCCCAA